CAGGGATAATTGATAATAAATATGTCCCAAATTTTGCAATGCAATAAACGCTTCTCTTACATTCGGGCCATCAACAATGAAAGGAAGAAAAAATAATAAGAGCTTATGTGAAGAAGTTAAGGCAAGACTACCTTTCTTATTTTCCTACATTTGAGATTTCGGCTCTTAATTCAAACGTCAACTATCCATAGTTTTTGATATCGAAAACCACCATCTACTCACGTAGATGGGAAAAAAAAAAAAAGGAAAGAGAAATACAAACTTGAGAATGAAGAATTTGACAAAGAGAGAAATTAAGCATAATGGGGAAAAAAAGAAGAAAGAAGAAGAATTTATAAATACACCCAGAAAACATCTTGATTGTAATACACAAGATTGGAATCGCCAAGGTAAAGAATGAGATGGAATCAATTGGAGGTTAGACAGAGATGGAATTGAGTGTAGGTCAAAAGGAAATGAAATCCAGAGTAGGTTTGTTTCATTTTTTTTGCTTTTATTTTAATAAAAAAATCTAACATTGATAAAAATTACATGTGATAACGCTGTGGTACAGACCACGTTAAATTGGCTTCCATCAGCCTATAAAGGGTCATGCATTTTCGAAGAAACTTCCACAAGCTTATCTTATCTTGCTTATGTTAAAATAATAATTACTACTATTATTATATATAAGAAACTATTAATACAAACTAGAACAAGGACAAAAACATGAGGTACGAAACTTAATATTTTACCATATCAATATATAATAAAATAATTTTGATAAACATTTTTCTGTTTATTTTTAAAAATTAGTTGAGCTAATTATTAAAAAAAATTAATAGTAACAATCAAATTTAAAAATGAATTGTTGAAAAATTCAAATTTATAAATTGGGTTTATTCAAATAAAAGAGTATTAAGAGAAAGTTATTGTAGGTTAGTAATTACCTCATCTTTATAAAATATTTTCTATATGAAATTCGAAAATGTAGACTTCAAGTTTTATTTCTAATGTCTAAAAATAAATAAAAAAAATATTTAAAGAGCGGCTTTTTGATTTAATAATTATTTTATTTTTATAAAAAAAAAATTGTATTAAAATTTAAAAATACAGAATTCAAATCTCACCCCCTAATATATAAAAAAAAATAAAAGAGTATTCAAATAAAAGAATATTCTGAAAACGTTGTGGTTTAGTTGCCTCTCGAATAAAGGGTTGCTAAGTTTGAGATACTCATGCCCTGTAAACTGATGCAACTTCCATCTCTCCACACTCATTCCGGTTTCCGCCGCCAACCTGATTCAATCCCCAATTATAAAACCCTAGCTAGGAACTCCCAACTCAGACACAAAAGAAGCACAGTCGACTGAGTCAGGAGTAGAAGATAAAACTAGTAAATCTTTTCCTCTTATCTACAATACACTTCAAAACGCGGCAATTCCGGGTACGTTTGGAGAAAAATGGATCAAACATAGATGAAGTTTCTATTTATAGTAGCCCGCAAGTTAATTTATTTTTTTGTATTAATTTATCTGTGTCTAATAATCATATTGTTCCCTTATATTATGACTTATCTCCTTACTTATAAGAATTTAAAAAAATAAGCCTTATTTAATGTTTTGTTAGCTTTGACCGTTAGCATTTTGTTATAAAAAATATGTAATTTAAATTTAATTTTATTTATTTGTTTCGTTAACGAAATGTTAATAGTTAACTAATAGAATTAATAATTAGTTAATAAAACAAACAATCAGTTAATAGAACCAATTGTCAGCTCATAAAACTAACAAACTATTATAATCTGACGTTAAGCAATAGCTATTTTCTTCAATTAGTAAAGGTGACTGGTTAAAAGTATCTTAATATAAGATAATGGATTAAAAGTTACAAATTTATTAAGTAAATGACTAAAACTAAAAGTAAGTTTTTGCCCATGATGTTACGCCATGAAGTTAAAAAGGTCTGATCTTTCTCTCTTTTTATGTAATTTATCAACTGGATATTATTTTTTTCTTTCTCTGGGAAATGTTTTGTTTTCTTCTGTTGGAGATTCTGCAATAGGACAATGGGAATGGATAATTTTGGGGTGACGCTGACCTTGAAATTTTTGTGAGAGAAATTGGAAAATTACTCTGCTAATTAAGTCTTAAAAAAAAAAGTGCAGAAGTACTTTTTCCTGCTCTTTTTTTCTCATTCTTTATTTCTCCAAAAGCAAATGGATTTGTATATTT